CATAAATCAAAATACTTCAGAAGGATAATACCAGAATCCTGCTGTATTTCCAAAATGAACTACGAAAGGCAGATTATCTGGGCATGTCTGTTAGCTATGCATAACCTTTGCACTACAAATATCTCATTTCAAAAATGTCACATTCTCCTTATTCAGTACGACTTCCTATTGTGAGGCTATTTTAAGCACTCTGCTTCTTGCTTCGAGCCGAGAGCTGGAGTTAGCAGAGCCTGCATCTCTTGCTTCACTTGTGGTTTGTTAGAGCTGGGTAATTGCTTGCTAGTAGGATGCTGTTCAGCGTGGAGAGTTCCTGCCCAAGCAGTATAAATTCCATGAGGTTCACTTTTGTTTAAAAGGCTCATCGTGCCTCCAGTTTGTCAGCTGTGGTAGTTTGGATGGTTCTGATGCAAACAAGGAGCTGCTAGCATAGCATTCCAAGCTCCTGTGGCTTTTGCAGCCAGAGCAGCTCCTGTGAGGGCAGAGGACCATGGAGCAGGTGCTGAACTCTGTCCCTCTGAGCCCCTCCTGTCTGCTCAACCTCCTCACAGGCCTGGTGGAGTCTCGTGTTTATGTGTGTCTGTGCTAGAAGCACTCACAAGAGCTTCGTGATGCACTTTGGGATGGATGTTTAAGGGAAGTTACACCTGGCAGGGAAATAACTAGTTCTCAGTTTCATTCCTTCCATTTAGCTTTGGATCAGGACTTGTGTGCTCTGACATTCAAGTGGCAGAGTCTGAACCGAAGTTACTGGCAACAGTTGCACCAAGGACATAGTAATCCACACTGAAAAGCACTTAATTACCCCATGTTTGGAGCAGCCAACACTGCAGTATGTGTATCACCAATATGTCAGTGTGGTTTGCTTTTCATAAGAGTTTATGTTCCCAGCAGGCACCGAATGCTTTTTCTGCCTGATAAATGTCAAGTACTTTAAGCAATCTTGCCTGTTCCTCTCTGGAGATTGCCAAATAATCTCCTTTCATTGGGTATGGGATCTTGCCAGGGCTTCTGCATTCATGCACATTTATCCCTGCCAAATGTTGGTAACACAGGAACTGTACAAATACTCCCTGCTCCTTTCATTAGCTTTGCACAGCTCTGTTTGGCTGCAAGACTCCTCTTTTTCTCTCTGTTGTTCTGGGCTGGAGCAGTAGTTCATATATTCCATTATCAGGTGTGCACTAGAGTTCAGCCCTTGCCATGGAGCTGTTCCAGAGTAGAAACCCTTGTTAAATAAACGTAGGTGTCTTGCATCATAGCCTTCCTAAAGCTAATTCAGTTTGCCTCCTGAATGCTCCTCTGCAGCTGAGGGGAGTTCCTGGTAGGTGTGGAACAGTTCTTCTGTTCCGAGTCATGATAAAAAGATTCCTTTGTTGTTCACTCTATCCAATTACCTGTGTATTTTCTCTAGGAAGTCACATAGCACCAAATGTTCCTGCTCTGTGCAGCACATTGGAGTTACCTTTTTTAGCTTTGTAAGGTTTACAAAATACTTAAAGCATTTAGTTTTAAATTTTAGTTTGAAAAGTCCAATCTGTCAAGGAGGGAAGAAGATCTCAGTAACACATCAACTCCTGGAATAAGTGCTTTAATAAAATACATTATGGCAGATGAAAAAATGCTTTGAATCGAAAATAGAAAGTAAATCACCCTGTCATGTTTTACTCTGTCTCATACAGCAAGTCTGGGTCATTTGACCTTTTTGTTGATAATGTCACCAAGATATTTTAGGCTAACATTACATATCATGCAATGGCAGATGAAAATGCTCTGTGTGTCACTGTGATACTTAATTTCAACCCATGTAATAATCCAAGACTAGATGGCAGAATGTCAGTCGTTTTTCCTTGACATTTCTCATTTCCTTGGTTGTAATGTAACATCCTTTGAATGTTGTACATGCAAACTCCAGCACCTAAGGACAGGCTAAGACCATGTGGCAGAAACTCATCAGTTAGATAAAAACTGTGAAAATGGAAGGAGGGAAGAGGAAAATATGCTTTTTCTAACAATGTGTTTGAAAACACAGTACTTGTAACTGCTTTTGGCTATTTTTGGATAAGAATATCAGTTAACACCAACCTTGAATGATCACGAGCACAAGAGCATCTTTTGATTATTTTGTCCATTGTTGACATCTCTCCAGACAAGGGAAGAAAGAGTGAGGATATGGCTGTGAGACAGAGCATGTTCTCAGCATGACTCCACAGCACAGGAGATGTAGGAGGCAGCACAGAGAACAGGGGTCTGAGGACAGCAGAGGAGCAGCAAATGTTTGTATCCCAAGTATCCATTAAGAATGCCAGCATGGTGTACAGGAACTGAAGACTGTGAGAAGCCTCTGTGTACAAAATACATGATTTTCAAATGCAGCAAAGTCTGTAATCCTTTAGCCAGTCTAAAGTGGAGTTCAGATCCTGTGCAACATGTTCCCAAATGATCAGGCAGTTTGTGAGAGTTTCATTGACTGTCTCTTCATTTTAATGACATTGATATGAATAAGATTGCTTTTGACAGGGTTGTAAAGCAGATTAACAGAGGTGTGGAGAGAGGATTGAAATCAAGTTTGTGTCAGCAGAATGTATGCAAGCATAATATACGAATAACAAAGGAAATAGTGGCTTAGCTGGAAGCACAGCCAGAAAAATCTGCTGCTATTGTCAAATACATCAAGGGTAATATTTTCTGCAAAGCCCAAATGATTCTGGTAGCCTACATCTCATTCCCAAAAGTCTAACCTAATACATGCAAGAAAATTAATTTGGGTTAATTAAAAAGACAAATTTAAAATGCATTAGGATATATCCACATAGTGAAAAACTATCAAGCTACCAAACACTCTTATCTGTGGTAGCTTTTGCATGTCCCTAGCCTGCTGCAAAGTGGAACACATTAATTGGAACCATCATGAAAGCATAATATCAGGGGTTTTTTTCTCTTTTAATTCTGGCAAGATTTCTTTTTGCTTTGTTATACCTTAGTTATATGGTAAGCTTAAACAAATGTTGCTGTCAAAGACTCATCTCAGTATTTCATATATGTTCACATGCACACATCCACAGCTTCTTATTCCTCGAAAAAACTTGTTTAACATCTGCCTTTACTACTATGCCTTGTGAGAACTGGACAGAGGTTATTTAGCAGACCAAAGCAGAAGAGTGACAAAGTGATAACACTGTGTTTGAATCTGCTAGTGACCAAATCACATTAGTAAGGTGCTTTAATGCAGGAGTCTTCCAGCCCTGAGCCAGAGTCCTCCCAGACTGTCAGAGTACTGTCTTTGAGCTGGCAGGGCAGTGCCTCTCTGCTGGCTTTAGTAACATGGTTAAGCCTGTTTCTAAAAGAGGGGTTTAAACTCCATGAGTACTTCCTGCTTGGTTTAACATTAGATATTGAAGTTGCTAAGAGCACTGGAGCATCTCTCCTGTGAGGACAGGCTGAGGGAGTTGGGGCTGTTCAGCCTGGAGAAGAGAAGGTTGTGTGGAGACCTCAGAGCAACTTTTCAATATCTGAAGGGGCTACAAGGAGCCAGAGAGGGACTCTGTGTTAGGAACTGCAGTGACAGGACAAGGGGTAATGGGTTCAAACTGAACAAGGGAAAGTTTAGATCTTAGAAAAAAGCTTTTTACTCTAAGGGTGGTGAGACATTGGCCCAGGTTGCCCAGGGAGGCTGTGGCTGCCCCAACCCTGGCAGTGTTCAAGGCCAGGTTGGATGAGCCTTGAGCAACCTGATCTAGTGAGGAGGTGTCCCTGCCCAGGGCAGGGGTTGGGACTAGATGATCTGTAGGGTCCATTCCAACCCTTCAATTCTATGATTCTGTGATTTTCTGGCTGTTTGCTGACAGGTCAGGAGAAGTTGGCTGGAAATGTCTCTGAGCTTTGAGTTTGCAGTGGCAGATCTGTAGCAGTGCAAGGAGGAACAAAGTCTGGAAAGACAGGAAAGCTGTTATTCTAAACTGGCCTGTAGTTTAGGTTTTGGGGTTTGTAACTGGAAAACTTACCAATGAGGTGTCAATTACCTTATATGACCCTAAACTAGGTTTAGTGTTTGTGGTAAATTTTATTTCTTAATAGGTTTATTGAGTTTTTGTAGGATAAAAACTGATTTCACCTGAACATTTAATGATGCATTTTATTAACCCTAACATTTAATGAGATGTTTTATTAGCAATTTATGCAAAGTGAACAAAATGCAATTTCCATGAGGTTTTTTTTTTGTTTAATTCATAAAGGATAATTTCTGAGAAACCCTTGACCTCTCTTTTCAAATGAATTTCATCACAACGTTTTGATTTAGAATTTCAAATACAAGGTTTTTAGAAGTAACCTGTTTGGGAAGGATCTGAATCTGTGAGACAATTTGTTTCCTCTTGGCTTCACTGAAGTCTCGTTAATAATAGGATAGAGTCCAGATAAATGCTTAGGATTATCTCAACAGAAGGTTTTACAGTTTGTGTATGAGTATTTTCTTTCTCAGTCAGTGCTCAGAGAATTGTTGTGCTTTATGCAAGAAGTTACTATAAATAAAAAGGTCTTGATTCACCACTGTGTCACTGCAGTTACACCACTGTCATTCTAGGATGAGTGTCCAGGATCTTAACTGTTCTCTTGGAGCCATAAGGAGTTCATTTGGATACTTAGTTTTATGTCTTTGGCAACTCTTTGGGTCTTTAAAATCCCTCAGTGATATTTGCAAAGCATAATATTAAAAAATGGAAAGTCCCCTGTCCAAAGAGTTTGGGAAAGAACAGATGTCTTGGAGGAAGAGAAGGGCTCACTGGCTACTAAATACTGCAGCATCAGAGACTTCTGGGGGAAGTCTGGGAGTGTTTTGAGTAGTGTTATTTTTATAGTGTTCTATTGATGTAACACCAGAGAAAACCAGCAACAGGCTGGTCTGAGGAAATCCATTCCAGAATTATGACACTGTAACAGAGATCCTATGGTTGACAGAGTGTGTTACATGCTTCTGATTATTTTACATTTTGTTCTGTTTCCAGTGTCAGCCAAACCAAGACCTCACAGTGATGAATACACAAAGAAGATTCCACCTCCTAAGCCGAAACGCAATCCAAACACTCAACTAAGCACATCTTTTGATGAAACATATATCAAAAAGCATGGCCCTATGAAGACAACTCTCACTAGGGATGCCTCTTTATCGCAGGTCAGCAGTCCTGCTCCAGACACAGAGGAAGAAGAGCCTGTTTATATTGAAATGGTTGGGAATATTCTCAAAGACTTCAAAAAAGATGAGGATGACCAAAGTGAAGCAGTCTATGAGGAGATGAAATACCCTATATTTGATGATGTAGGCCAAGATTCAAAATGCCAATGTGAATATGACCATCACACTTGTTCTTCTCAGTGTGCTACTCCCACAGTGCCTGACCTAGATTTCACCAAGTCTCCAGTGCCATCTACTCCCAAGGGCTTGCTTTGTGATATACCCCCACCATTTCCAAATCTGCTTTCTCACAGACCTCCACTGCTGGTGTTCCCACCAGCACCAGTGCAGTGTTCCCCGAATTCTGACGAGTCTCCTCTAACTCCACTAGAAGTCACAAAGCTTCCCGTTTTAGAAAATGTGTCTTACATCAAACAACAACCTGGAGCTTCTCCATCTTCACTGCCACCTCATACACCAGGCCATCAAAAACTGGAGAAAGACCAGACTGTATCTCATGGAACTAGCACCCCTGGGCACACCTCCTCACCTCCTCATCCTTCTACCTTATACAGAACACAGTCTCCACATGGTTATCCTAAAAGTCACTCTGCCTCACCTTCTCCTGTCAGTATGGGTAGGTCTCTTACCCCTTTAAGCCTCAAAAGACCTCCACCTTATGACTCTGTACATTCAGGAAGTCTCTCAAGAAGCTCTCCATCAGTGCCTCATTCTACAGCCAGAAACACATTGCAAGAAGGAGGAAAGATGGTAAATGCCTCGGTCAGTACCTACGGGTCATCATCTCAGAGTGGTTCCCGTTCTCGGACACCCACCAGTCCTCTGGAGGAACTAACCAGCCTCTTTACCTCAGGAAGAAGTCTCCTGAGGAAGTCCTCCAGTGGCAGAAGATCTAAGGAACCTGCAGAAAGTAGGTCCTTGATGTAATTTTTCCTTATTCTTCTTTCTATAATAATATCTTCACTACATTTTACTGAATCAAATGCTTGCAAAAATCAACTATCTCGGAAATCTGAATTTCTTACAGAAATTTCTTGTAACAGACTCAAAATTGCTTTAGTCTTCATATTGTTATGTTTTTAAGGTTTTTAAGTGTGCATACTGCACTACAGAAGTACAATTCATGGCTTGGTCTTGCAAAAAGAGTTGGTTTTCATCAGTTTTTCCACAGTTGTAGAGGGTCCCTTGTGAGCTGGGATCTTTCCACCAAATCACATCCTTCCTTTCTTGATGGATGTTAAAACACAGTAATTGTCCAGGCAGCTTGTAACAAAATAACCAAACAGTAGTCGGGTTTGGGTTTTTTTTTGGCAAAGATCCACTGATCCCCCTTAACTTGGCCAGTGAACCCAGAGTGAATGATGGGTACCAGCTGAAACCATTCCTGTCCTTCCCTCTGCCTCCTTGTGTGCTCTGCCACTGAGTATCTCTTCCAGTTTGGCTAGTGTGGCTGATTGGGAGGTCATGCTGTGAATCGATCCAAAAACCAACGTGACCTCTAATGCATATTACCCACGCACAGAGGAAAGCAGAGGAGGAAGTTGTGTAGGAAAACCTTAAGCCAATATTGACTTGCCATATGCTGTATCATAAAATCACTGTCCCACATGCATTCAGATTTGCACAATGTACACCTCCTCCTGAGTTATAGAAACTCCTAAAGGAAATCAACAGGAGACATGTGTGAGTGAAAGCAGAACCTGGCACCAGTATTTCTATTACAATAGTGATGCCAAATAGGGTGTCCTGCAGTGGAAAGCCACTCTAATGCCGCTTGTCAGAGTGCAAAGCAGACTCAGGACACTTTCTTCCTCAGCTTCACTAAAGTCAGTTTATAATTTGAATTCTTGATACCTGCCTAATGGAAAAGCTCTCTTTGGAGAACAGCTGATCTCATGTTTGCACCTATTTAGCAGCTGTAACATATTAAACATGATATGATAAACTACTCTGGTTTATCCTGATAAAGTGTTTTGGTTTCCAGGCTACCTTATCACTACCAAAGAGAAGTGAATTCCACACTGGCTTTCTGGTTGTGTTTGTGCCACTCTGTTGCATTACTCATCACATGTGGTCACATCACTTTTGGACCTGCTCAGTGGGCTCACAAGGACACCCCCTCTGGGTTTTCATGGGCAGAGGTTGTCTGCCTCGCACTTCTGCAGCTGAGCAGAGGTGTAAGTGTGGAGAAGCTTGGTGGCAATGGGTTGGGTTGGCCTACAACACATTCCTACTGACTCATGGACGCTACTGCCTCAGCCTCAGTAGTTTTATTCTTATTTATGTCTATGCAGAACAGAAAAAAAACCCCTGAAATCAAAAGGTGGAGGTGAGAATGGAGTTAGCAAGGTCCTGAGAGTATGAGTTGGTGCAGCAGTTTGCTTAATTTGGCTTTAGCATTTTCATGGCCTGCCAGTCATTAATCCTGTTTTATGAAAGTCTCAGCTCCATGATTCAGTAGGGTTTCACTAATTGATTGCAGTAGTAAAAATACAGTAACACCGGATTTGTGTGCTGGATGGAAGCAAGTTTGTGTCTAAAAGCCAAGATGATTCTTGTAATTGGGAATAATTATGAGGGATGTGATGTGACATTTATAAATAATTTCAGTGAAGCACTAGGGAGACTTGGCAAAGTGCAGGTAATATTGAGCATTATTAAACATGCTTCTTATTCATAAGTGAGCAGAAATCCCCTGTAAACCCTATTCTACACCAGATCTACCTGGTGAGCTTTGTAAGAAGGGTTTATGCTCAGCAGTGTAAGCAGGTTTGGAACCTGTAGAAATTCCTGCAGTGAATGTTGCAAGTCCTGAGCAGTTTCAGCATATCTGTGCTGCTGTCTCATACCTACCTCCAGAAAGATATTTTCTATATTCCACTTGGCTGAAATCGAAAGCAAAACTTTCAAGGGACTTTTCACTGATAAATTTAAAATAAATCTTGCCCTGCAGATCTGTACCAAGAACAGCTTTCTCCTTGGCCTCTCAAGGGGCATTCTGCTTGCTCCTTAGGAAACAGAAATGTGCTCCTTGGTGGTCACAAATGGTAAGACAGGAGAGATATGAAATAGAAACCGTGTTCATTTACTTTAAGAAAAGAGCATTTGTGTTATGAATAGACAGCAGTGGTGAAAAGGCTCTGGGGTGCAGCTGTGTTGAGTAAATTAACAGACTGCCCATCTAATCTGATTGTAATTTGTCTGGTATTTACAGTATGCCTTAATCCTCTAGGATTACTGAGTAAGAACCAGGTTTGTGCTCAGGTATTACAGAGGTAGAAGGCACACTAAGACTTACAGAAAACACATACAGGTCTAGCATTTTTTTGTCTTGAAATTCTACATTGAAATGATCCACCATAAGGAATCTAAACTGTGGGATTTGAGCACAGCATTTGACCAGACTGTCACATTTGCATGTCATGATTATACATAGTGATAGGCAGGGGAGGCTGGACTATGCATATGATATGTTAAAGGGAACTTGTCCTGCAAATCAGACTGGAAGCCTAAGGCATTCATACTGTCTGGATTATTTTTCTAAAGCAGGGGGAGAGCAAATGCATAGAGTAGGACTAACTGGAACTGCCATGGTTTTAGAATTGTCATCAGTGTAATTTGCTCTCAGCATGCAGAAAGATTTCCAGAATCCAGAGGATAATAAACACACACACACAAAAAAAGAAGAAGGTATATGACTCTTACAAAGTCATGCTAGGGAATTAAGAATATTTGCTTCTAAAACATAAAATTATTCTGACCACATCTCAAGCGACTTTCACATTGAATTCTCCAAGACTCAGTCCTCTATGACTTGTCTGAAGCTCTCACTACCATATGCTAGTAGCAAAACAAAAAGCACCATACTGAATTTTGTATTCAGCTGGGTGTATTTGGAAAATATTGCAGCAGTTACAGAGGTAATTCTCTCATCTTTATTGTTGCTGCAACTGACTTTGTGGAAATTTGGCATCTGAGTCCAAACTCCAAATGTATTTGCTAGTTTTTGATTTGTGGCATTTTTGAGTATTGTTTCTTTTTGAGGAGGTGAAACTACAAAATTTCCAGTCAACAGCTTTAATGTACAAGCAAGATGCTCTTTTAGACTTTCTGTATGATTTTCTTCACTCTTCTGCCATTTTTCCTTTTTATTTTTTATGTTTGTTTGGGGTTTTTGGGTTTTTTTTTTGTCCCCTGCCATTTTATTTCTTTAGAGTTCATTTGCATTAGTGAGAAACATGGATAAATCAGTGATAGTAAGGAGTCTGTCACCTCAGGGCCACATTTTCTGATTAGAAGAGCTTCCATTGAAACTACAGACGTGTTGTTGAATGCAGTCATCATCCACTGGCTACAGCTGTGATGTGTGTATCTGGTTTTATAAGCATCTCACTTATTGTGCTGTTCTTCTAAAAATCCTCTTGTGTGCTCTTAGCATCTTAAATATGCATTACTGCACAGTTATGAAAGTGGGGAGAAAAGAACAAAGAAAAGTAAATTGTAAGGCCAAATCAGAAATTAAAAAGTTGGTGGAAGATGTTCACAAAAAAAAAGGCAGAAAGATATAGAGAGCCCTACAGAAAACTGAAGAAAGGTGTAGGGCATGTAAAATGTGAAAGAGAGTAAAAGAGAGTTATTATTGTCACTGACTATTCCTTAACCCTTCCTGTTTTTGTGTGGGATAACATGATAGTGTGCCCTAATGCTTGGCACACCCCTGTGAAATACAACATCAGTTCTCAGAGGTTAGAGGGAAACTATTTAAAGGGTACCAAGGTACCAACACTGCCAGGTGTCCTTGGGATGCTGCAGTGTGTCCTTTTCTGATGCAGCTGGAAGGTGTTTCAGTGTCACCACTCAATCCAGCTGTGTTGAATACACATTCCCTTTGCTGTTACTGTGCACACCGAGTGCCCATGTTAACTGTGTCCTCCAGTAGAGATGGAATTATGGAGGGAAAGGGAGGGAATGTTCTTGAGGTTTTCTGGAGCTGTATTTGTTACTTCTGTCTTCTTTTCACCAGAGAAGCACAGTGTACTCTGTGAACATAGAGCACTGGAGTCATGTGTTATAGGCATTCCCACATCCTAAAGGGCAGGATAGTTGCTGCCATGCACTGGCTTCAAGGCTGTACATTTTGTCTGTGTGAGATGGTCCTGTAAACCTTAGGCAGGATCAGCCTTTCTTCCTAATATTAATTCTAACAAATTGCACAGCAGAATAGTTACTTCAGCTGTGTGCCCTGACTCTTTGCACAAGGTGTAAGATCAGGACACATGATGCACAGCAGCTCGTTGCTTTTCTTTTTCCTAAGCTGCTCTGCAGGACTTCTGAGCTGCTTTGAGTTTTGCCTATGGAGAGTTTCACTCTTCAGCTTCTAGTTACATATGGGGAGGAAATATGTGAAGGTGCTACTTTGAAAAATCAGTTAAAGTGATTGAAAATTGGGATAATTATTAACATTTCCTGTTCCTGGCTGGTACCTACTGCATTAGGAATCTGAACCTGTCAAATAGTGTGAGGAGGGGAGAGATGCTGAAGTGGCTCACTTGTTAAAAGGATGCTCAGGCTGATTTCAGGCAGCTGAGACTCTCTCAGTAAGAGATTGAGGAGTTAGAGTGGAAATATATTTGTTTTATTTTTATTTTTTAATGCTGCTACTTCCCAGGAAACTAGAAAGCCCAGAGAAGGTGTGAAGGTCCCACCCCTGGACATGTTCAAGGCCAGGTTGGATGAGACCCTGAGCAACCTGATCTAGTGAATGACATCCCTGCCCATGGCAGTGAGGATGAAATTAGATGATCTGTAAGGTCCTTTCCAACCCAAGCCATTCTATGATTCTAAAGCAGCTTTGTGTTCCTTGTTAGGCAGAACAGTATGTTGGAAAAGAGAGTTTGGGAAGTGTGTCAA